TTTGTTGTGATTTTAGGTCCTGCCCATGATATCATGTGAGAATCACAAGCAAAACTTTGAGTCACAAACAAAAACTTAGAATATCAAGAAAAGATTTCTGACATGCACAAATAAGTTTGTTTTGCAAAAAAAAAAAATCACTTCATGAGACAAATGTGTGATTTAAATGTTTAAAAAAGTTTTAAGCAAAACTCAGTAGGTTTTTCTCATGGTGACATGCATTAACAATTAAATTTTTGCTTTTGTTTTTGTCTTTTTTCTGCAGTTCCACGTTAAAGTTTGATGCAGCTCTGCTTTCCTGAATGGACCATCTTCATCTCCACTGCAAGTGTAGCAAACAGGCAGCTCTTTTTTATATAGATTACAGTACACTAAAAGGTTGCATTGTGCCCTTGTTTATATTTTTAATAGTGTAATTCTGTAAAGACAAAATATGTCTGGTCCAGCTCTGATTTACATATCTTGCTAAATTGCGGGTTTGAATATTGCAATACTTTCCTATAACAAAATAGACCTGCAGAAAGAAATTACTAATAAAATATCTTACATATGCATAGTTGTATGCTCTATATAGAGATTTTCAATAGCTTTGATTGTATATCTCACAATTTTGTAATGTATCATTATTTATCAAACTCTGAAAGCTGAGTGACTTTATTCATATTCTGTACTAGAATGAAGTTAGATGTGCCTTTTCTTTTTTTTCTTTTCTTTTTTTTTTGAGCACCTGCCCCTTTAGTGGTCTCTGCACGGCCCTGGCAAGGAATGTAGTTGGGTCCTTTGTCTGGAAGAGGGGTGCGTTGGCACCATAGTCAAAAGAGTCCACTAGGGGGATTTGTGCGCTCTTCTCTAAATTCAATACAAGAGTAAGTGAAGACGCACTGGTTTCATCTCATCATTCCTTCTCTAATAGTTGTCCCTCTTATAAGGGCTAACACTGGCTTCTGCTCTGTTTCTGAATAGTAGTTGTGTCCTTGTGCCTCCTCGCAGCTGTTGCTGACAAAACGGGCAGGCAATATCTCTCCTGTTCTTTGTTTTTGTGGATGTTCAACCAAGCTTGCTGTGATGGGGTTTTCATATGACTTGGTCAAACATAAATGACTGACCTTGGCCGGAGATCACTTCAGAGAAATGTATTAAATATTTCTTCAGGTGATCAGAGATGTAAAATAGGTACAAAGGCCATCCAAGGGAGGTTAAAATCAGACAAACAGTACCTTCAATACAAGAGTCCATCACCTCCAGTGTGACTTGGCAGTAGTGATGGGTCCGGCAACACCGATGTGTCAGCCCATGTGTCAAGCCCATAGACCAAAACTCGTGTTGGTGCGCGTATTGGTTTCAGCAAGTCACGTGATCGATACAGGAACTGTTTCGAAATGACATTAAAACGCCAAACTGTGTTATATGGAAGCAAATCTGTCAATCTGTCAAAAGCATTTGCCAAACGAATTCTTGATCTTTTACGGAACAGTGTCAACTATGGAGCAGCCTCAGACAAAAGGTTTCCACAGTGTGGGACCATTTTGATCTTGGGAGTTTTGTGGATTTTCTTCTGGAATCGCGATGTTCATGAGTGGAATTGGTTCTTGTGTGGTGTGTTGCTCCTGCCTTGTGGCTGAACACGAACCGATCGAACCTGTTGTACTTTTATCAGCTCTGTGATCACAGAGGTTTGGAGAATCGGCCGACAATTCTTAAATCTTGCCGTCTGAACCAGACTTAAGACTCACAAGCTCTACTCATCCCCTCTCGCCCAAACACTCTGACTCTGGTCGCTATGGTAACGTTTATATATCCCTTCAAAATAAGATACAAATGTGCCACAAAGACGAACATTTTACTTTCGTGAAAATTTTAACTCACGATAATGACTAACTGGAGCCCTCAGCTTGTTTCTCTGCAACGAGACGGTCCCATCTGGGATTGATGGGAGACAATGACACCCGAAGTGTTGCTTATATCCACAGCCTGCTGGGTCTCTAGTGGTGAAGCAGTTTGAAGCTTCATTGCTTCATTAGCAGCCGGTCGCCACATGTTACACAGAGCGGCTTGTAATGTTTGACTCACCTACCTGTCTGGGATAAATCCATCCTCCTGTCTCTTCTCTGGGCCTTTTCCCCTTTGCAAAGAAACTTTCCAAAGACATCTGATCTGTTTTACTCATTTTGCTGCTTGTGGGCTCAGTGTTGGCACGCAAGTAACCGAGAGAATCCGGTTAAAGGATTTTCAAAATAAAAGATCCTCCAGACTTAATACATAAAACGGAAATATTTAATTATTTCTTACGCGGCCCGGTACCAATTGGTCCACGGACCGGGGGTTGGGGACCACTGGACTAGGTAATCAAATCACTACGTTGCCTGTAGGATTTTTTAATGTACAGCAGATGTCAGTATTCAGTGACACAGTATCAACACAGAATAGACACAGTTTTGCTATGGGTCGAAACGATACATGACGCCTCATCTACCCATCACTACTTTGCAGGAGTCTAGCCACAAACTGCCTCAAAGTGGAACAGAGCCCTGCTTTTAAAGCCACAGGCTCCGCCCACAGCAAAAACAATTAAACAATTACTTTTAACTCAAGTAAACTCTTAATGTAAACAAAGTAATAATAAATAATACCAAGGGAAAAAAGAAAAAAATATATAAAAATAAACTTGGGATCAAATTAAAATAATCAATTTAATAGAAAACGCTCCGTACGTTCCAATGACATCACTACGTCATCACGACTCCCTCCTGGCGCGCCACAATCCGGAAACCCTGCTTGAAAACAGAACCGGGAAAATGTTTGGAACTGAAAACAGATTAGGATGGATATGTTAACTGAAGCAGGAACACCGCGTGTGCACCCACGATGAACCGCGTCAGTTTAAGATGCAACAAAAAGTAAGTCAGTGATTGTGTATGCTCGTGTATATGTGTGTGTGGGCATGTTCGTATGCTGACACTGACTCATAATTAAGTCCCGGCTCCTGTCGGCTCCTCCGTCACACTTGCCTTCACCTTTACAAAAAGTATATTGCTGCATGCGTGATGGGATGACATTTATGGCATGAAATTAACATATCACAATAAAATTAATTTTCCCAGGCAAGTTTTTTTTATTTTTTTTATTTACAAACATTATTGTGAATGATATGATATGGCCTAGTCCTAGGGTATAAAAAACAACCCTCTGTCTCACACTGATGGAGAGATGGAGGTCTGTAGAGAAGGTTCTAAAATTTAATGTTAAAATCTTCAAATCTGATTTCCAGATAAAATCAACAACAGCTAGTGAGCACATCCATCCATCCATCCATCCATCCATCCATCTGTCCAGTAAACACGTTTATCCTTGCAGGGTGGCCAGTTGGGCTTTTCAGTAAAGTGTTGTTTTTTTGTTTTTTTGTTGTTTTTTTAAAGCAAATCTAATTTTGTTTTACACTAAAGTGTAGAAATGGTACAAATGTTATCAATGTTATGACTTTTCGTCAGAATACGAAGTAATCTACAGTTAAAAGTGACGGGTTCTCTCAGAGAGCAGTTTAGACTTGGACTTGGATTAACTGGTTTTTACATTACAATTCCACTTTTATCTTAATATATCCTGTACTTTTCTATAGCCTATGTTTTACAAACTTAGCACATTCTTTAACCTTAAAAGTATCTCATACCACGATTGCAAAAAATAAAAAATAATATTATAAAGGGGAAAGAGAAGTTTGGAAAAATGAAACCCATAAAACTAATCTTTTAGCTACTAACCCTACGACTCATGAAGCAATATCTATGATCAACAGTTTAAGATAAGCGTCACAAATCTGTGCAGCAGGACATCTGAGTTGTGGAGCAGCAGGAGGAGCGCTGCGCTTTGACACCAAACGCAGGGCCGTAATTAGGAGGCTGGGGCAGGGAAGGGGGGGGGGGCTCTAAAACCCTATTTATAGTTTTCCAGACAATAGTGGAACACACAAATTATTATTGTACTGTTGTAACCATTAAACAATCTCCCCTTCAGTTCAACCTTATAAGTGGAGACACATTGTTGATGTTACCATAAAATAACTTGCAATTAAGTATTAGCAAAGCTCAGTGTAATTGAGCAGAGCGTTGTTGTTAGCAGCTGCTGAAAGTAACTAAAACAGTTACTTTAATGTAACTTAGTTACTTTCAAAATCAAGTAGTCAGTAATTTAACTTTTTCAAGGAGTAATCAGTAATCCGATTAAAGTTTCTTTTTCAAAGTAACTATGCCATCACTGTTCGCAGACAGTTTGTCAGATGTCCTGCAAACACTGAATTCAAGCCACAGTACACAGTAAAAGCAGTGAAGTCTGATGGTTCAAACATCATTAGCTGGGGTGGTTTCTTGTACTAGGGCAGTGTTTCTCCACCCTGGTCCTCACCGCCCCCCTTTCCTGCATGTTTTAGGTGTTTCCCTTCTGCCACACACCTGAATTGTATCTCTGGGTGATTAACAGGCTTCTGCAGCACTTGATGGTCATGCAATAATTTGAATCAGCTGTTCTGGAATAGAGGCACATCTAAAACATGGAGAGCAGGGGGGCGGTGAGGACCAGGGTTGAGAAACACTGTACTATGGTATTGTTCCCATTTATTGCATACCAAGGATCTTGGATCATTTTGAGTTAGGGTTGCCACTGTTAATTTAAATCAGAAGAAGGCCTGTCGCGATAAACGATAAATCAATTAATCGCACGATAAATTAAACCTATCGACCTCATTTTAATTATCGTCTATATCGTCTCTTCCTGCCTTTTTTTTTTCTTTCTCTTGATGACACTGAATGAAAAAAGGCTCAACTCTGGTGTTCTCCACTGACCTTCCCTTCCTATTTCCTTAGTGTAATGTCCAGTGCACACGACACAAGTTGTCGGCCCATTTTCAAAACCTCAGAGACCACACATTAGCTGACAGAAATCCTGGGTATAACAGTTCGCTCATGCTCTGTGGTGTCCAGCCACACAGCCATTATTTTGGACTTGTAGGCCAAAATAATGGCTACAAGTCCAGTTAATTAATTTTAATATCAGGCATTAATCAATGCTTAATTAGAATCTACCTGTTTTGCATGTGGCTAGAGTCAGCGTAAAGTCCTGACTGACTTTGGAAGAATGAAACACCTGTGATTAATATTATGTATCATTTTGAAAAGTAACATGATTCAACAAACTGGTGTTTGGAATTATCTTTGTAGACTAACATCGTTAAATACACTTTTTTTTCTTTTAC